CATAGCAAACAAATGTTCCCAACAAATGCACCTTCTCCCAGTTTCCAACTAAACTAGCCCATCCCAATTGTTTCTGGTGAGGAGAATTGAGGCTGCCTCCTTACAAGCAACCTCACCAACCTTCTCTATTGCCTCCTTCTGCACCATTCTCCATGTATACACCATTCTCCATGGCTGCTGTTCCCTATTGGAGGTGATTTGTAGCTTGTCATCATTGCTGGCTCTTCACAACTGATTCTCTCTGGCAAGTGGCTGCCTGTCTGTTCGCCACTTCTCCTAATGCAGACAGGGCTAGAACTGCATTGTTTTTAGCTACTGGATTGTCCAAGCATTTGGGGAGGTATGCCATTTCCGATTGGGTGGTCCTAGTTCCAACTCTTCCTCCTATGAACCAGTCTCACAAGGCCATCATACCATCTAAATCAGGGGTGTCACAATCACTGTGTCACGTTGTTGTCATGTGATGTATTGTAACTTTTCCCCCTTTGTTAAACTACAGGTGGGCATGGCCAGCGCATGATGCATCCAGCCGCCGGGCTATGAGTTTGACACCCCTGATCTAAACGATTGCTGATGTGCTCAGTTATGTTCCAAAGGAGCATGAATAAATTGTAGGAGGATGTAATTGTTGCTTAGCTGATTCTCTTGAACTGCTTTGTCTGGATAACTGTGCAGAAGGAATAACACTTGCGTTGAACAAATTGGTGATTGGGGGAGAAGGTAGAGAATAGACCCTTGTTGCCATTTAGGGTGGATATTGTATTGAGCTAAGATAAATCCATAGGTGAAGTTTTATGGGCAAGGCAAATAAGGCCAGAATGGGGATAGGAGGCATAAAGTACACATATTCAAAGTTCTTGTGGAGAGAATGCACTTTCAGGTAGAAATAACAAGTTGTAGATGGGAGCCGTTGGATGTATAAAATCAGAATCCATATAGGGAGAACCAGTGGGGATGAAGCCAGTCTGTTGACTAGTCTGTTCTTTACAATCCAGTTTTAAAGTTTATCACCTGTAGGATGATCATCTGGAACAGGGGTGTCAAACTCACATCGTCACGGCAGTGACACGTGATGTATTGGAACTTTTTTCCCCCTTCGCTAAACTGTGTGTGGATGTGGCCAGCACGTGACGCATCCCGCCCACAGACCAGGAGTTTGACAGTCCTGATCTGGAGGATTATAGAAAGATTGTGTTACATTGAACAATTTGGGGTTCCCTTCATTTGTCTGAATTACCTTTGAGATGAAGCACCTTCTTTTTAAGGATTGCTAAACATTCAAGACAATGAACTTAACATTTCAATAGGAGGACAGTTGGGGGGCAGTAACAGGTTGATGGACTTAGTTGCAAGCGGTTACTGAAGCACTGATTTGACTGCCTCAGGTTTGTGTATAATTATTTGTTCTTCTGTAGAAAGAGTGCCAAACATCTGAGTAAGTTTTCCTCATCCTCCATAGGATTGACTGATGTCTGTATCTTCCCTTTAATTAATTTGAGGGTGTAATGCTGCCTATGCTTATCTGGTCCTGACCTTGGATTTGGTGGAACACTCTGCTGTGCAGACAGTTGCTGGCAGATATTATGAACTCTGGGGCTTATGCCATCCTTCTTCGTAGGCTTGGCTCTCCTCCCAGAATTTAGCAGAGGCTCTGTACATTGCTATTGTGAAAGACTAGCACAGGCATAATTTGAAATCCCTTGGAAAATGGTTCAAAAAGCATTGAAGGGAGCACAACATGCTAAAAGTCAATATTATTCTTTCAAATCCATACCATCTGGGAAGCCATGTAAGCTTCCTGGGATAAGTTCTACAGTGAAGAAATTGTGAGAGAAGGTGTAATACTGCTTTTCTGTTGTGCCATTTGCCCTTATTAATTGCAAATCTGGAGCAGTCACTGCAAAAGTAGTTTCCCCCAAGGGATCTTGGAAAACATGTGAATTTTGAATAAAGTCTAGAGCAACTGAGTTGGTGGATGACTCCATAAAAGGTTTAGTTATATGCTTTGCTATTATAGCCTTCATCTATTTTCTGGTTGGCATTCAGCAGCTGAAAGAAAATGGAAATAACCATTTTAGCAGTTAAAAAGCAATTCTTTGAAATGAACTCCAGATCCACATTTAAATCACTTGTGGTTTTTAAAAGTGTTCTTTCCTATATCTGCTATAGACGCCTAATGGAAGGAAGGGAAAACATCAACTTCTGTCAAATAGGGTTTAGAATTCATTAGCATAGACTAAAAAGAAAAGGAGAGACAAGGACTTACATGCTGTGTCCTTAATGTTGGAACAAATCCTTTAGTTTTAGCTGCCTGGAAGTTTCTGGACCTTAGAGTATTCAGAATACTTGAAATATTCTCTACATCTCAGGCTTCTTCCCTTTTTTTTGTTTTTCTAAATTTTATTTGAATTTTCACAAAGAAATACAAATAAAACATCTTTTTTGAAAGTAGCGTCATCCCGGGTTACATTTCTTCGTACAGACACAAATTCAGTTTCATGCTCATTTTTATGTTCCATTCCATATCTTATTACTGTTTTACATTTTCTGCATAGTTTCTCCCCTCTTTTAATTTTCTCAATTGTATTTTAATTATCTCATCTCAATTCAAATCATTATATTTATATTTTTTGTCTGTCCTGTTTCAATTTCATATTATCTTTTCTCATTAAACAAAGTTTCTCCTGTAGTTGCTGATTGCGGTATGACACCTTTATATCTTTTAATTTTATCCATTTAACTCTTATTTAAGCTTCAATATATACCTTAAAATTATAACATTCAATATAATACATAACTTCCATTTGAATTCTGCTTGGTACATTCTTAAAATACACACTATATTCTGAAAAAAAATAATATTCATTAAAATCTTAACTTCTTTAACATTACTTTTCAATTAAATATCATACTTCTATGGGAACAGTTATAAGCTTTCCATAATTAATTCCCCCCCTTCACTTATATTTTATAAAACATTGACTAATTAAAATGTTCCCATCCTTTCCTAATTCAATTCTCTCATTTATTTTATTTCATTTATTTATTAACAAACATTTCACTAGATTACAGTAACTATTTTATCCCTCATTTCAATCATACATTGTTTCAAATTTTCTAAGATTATTTCTATTACTAATATAACAATACAATCTTATGTACCTTTACAGAATCCCTTTTTCAGTTAAATTTTCACCCATTATCTCTAAATAGGCCCTGTTTCTCTATATCTTGTTTCTGTCCTTTGTAGCTTCTTTTCCTTTCCTTCTTCCCTCTCTTCTTCTCCCTCCCCTTTTTACCCCCTTGTCTCTCTACCTCTATTTCTCTCTTCTGTATTCCCCTCTTCTGTTGCTTTCCAATATTATACTTATTTTTCAAACTATTTTTCTTTTCTTTGGTTGTTTTTTTAAGTCTTAAACTTTTCATTCTCTTTCCTCCCTTTCCTTTTTCTTCCCCACGTAGAATTACTTGTTCATTAAAGATGGCTTCTTCTTTGTCCCAGTCTTCTTGGTTTGCAGGCGTTTCTTGTTGTTTCTCATAGTTCCAAATCTCCAAGTCTAAGAATTGAAATACGAAGCCAAAAGAACCTCTCCCTTCTTGTGCATCTTCTTTGTACTTTTTAAGTTCCATTTTCAATTCATCCAAAAGTAGTGCCATTTTTAAAAAATTTAAACAACCACCCAATAGATTTTAGTCATTCAAATGCAATAACCAAGAATCCAAAGATCACCAAGTAATCCAAATACATGCAAGCTGTTTCTTTTTGCTTTTTTTTCACTTTCTCTTCCTGGGGTTCTACTATTTAGTTGCCAAGTTTCAGTTAAAATGTATCTTTTAGAAGTCTTGTTGAAGTTTTACTGTAAATTCCTTTTAATTCCAGGCAGTCTCCTCCCTTTTTTTCCAGATCCTGCCCTTTTATTCTTTTTCTCTCCTTTCCTGCTTTTAAAAACTGTTAAGTATCCAGAAATCTTTATTATCCCTTTGACATTTTATTTTATTTTCAGCTTAATTGCCTGTTGGTGTCAAAGCAGATTTTTTTTTCCAATTTCTTATTTAAGTCTCTTAGCTCTCAGTATAGGGAAAGGGAGAGAAGAAGAAAAAAACCAGATCCTTTCCCTTTTCACTTTCCTTCGCTGCTTCAGAATCTTCTTTGGGAACAATGTTACTTTTTTTTTAGTTTAAATTCCAGGATACCTTAGTTGTTGCTTTTGCAGTTTAACCCGGTCAGCCAAGACTTTCACTTCTTATCTTCCTCCTGCACATTCTTTTCCGGTCGAGTTCTTCTTTGGGGTGGCCATTTCTGACCACCGCTACAACAGCCTTCAGGAAAGGGAGTAATGGCCAGCTGAGGAGGAGAGATGCGGCTCTCCTCAACCCTGCTGGCGGTCTCCTCCCTCTTCACCACCTCTACGGGGTGGCTTAGCCCTGAAACCAGCCGGCTCAAGGCGCTCCAGCGGCGAGCCCAGATCAAAACCGTGCACGATCGTGGATTTTGGTCTATTGCCGAAGAGGCTCAAACCGGAAGCCAAGCTTCTTCCCTTTGAATGTGAAAGAATTCCATTTGAATTCTTCTTTGTGTCCTTGTTGTAGCCATTGCTGCTTCCCACCATTGGCAGATGTCCAAAGCATTGGATTTGACATTCTAAAATATCAACTAATCTGAATTTTAAAGTTCTAAAAATACTGATCCCAATGCAGGGTACTAAGATTACTAATTCACATTAAATAAAATTATTGAGTAAACTATTTTAAAAATAGTTGAGCTTAATATCTTTGCTTGGCATAAATTGCATAAGGTATATGGTGAACACATATCCATGTCTTGTTCAAATAATAAACAAACATATTTTTAAACGAATGTAATCTGGTTTCAAATTAATTACCAGTTGTGTAATATTTGAAATATTGACAAATATTTTCATTTACTTTTCACCAGACTTATTGCAATATTTACGCTATTTAAATTAGTGACTGTTGTCTTAATTTTTCATAATCTTTAGGCTGTAAGTACGGATCCAGTTCCAGTGAATCTACATTATGATAAATCACATGATCAAGTATGGGTGCTCAGTTGGGGAAGCTTTGATAAGGATTCTCCTACACTACAAGTAAGTATATGCGTTTTAATATTGAATAGAAGCACGTGCACTGACTAGAAATACATTGTTTCTTTGACAGAAATCCAATTTCATATTCACATAGAAAACTGTCAGAAAGATAGTTATATAGTAAATATATGAACATTTAATATATACATATGGGAGTCCAGCAGTGACATAGTAGGAGATGAGCTTTGTTAGTCTATTAATATAACAAAAAAAAAAGGAAAGCCAAGTTCCAAATCAAACTGCTCTAGCTACACCTCAGGAACAAAGAGGTATCTGAAGTTGAATGGGTTGTCAACTTGTCAATCTGTCACCTAGTCATGATGGAATATAACATCCTAGATAAAGGCGTCAACTGTAACACAGAATGCCAATCAATTAAAATTCTTCGCAGCCTTAGAAGCAGCATGTAAAACTAAAGGACTTATTTCAGAGAGCCAAGAAAACATAAGGACAATCATATCACAAACAACTGCATCAAAGATCAGAACAACACAGAATCAGAATTAATTCAAAGCAGATGACCGCGCAGACCTCAAAAACCTAAACAAGGATCAAACATCATCATCCTTCTACCAGACAAGGGCTGTATCACAGTTACTTGTCTTCCACTAAAAGAATTACTGGAAGACAATAAAACCTACATCCCTGTAAATACATTTGGTATGTAGATGATACCTTTGTCTTTATATTATGCAATCAATTATTTCATCAAAAATTAAACCACTTAAGGATTTAAATTATAGTGATGTCATTTTGGGTAAAAGGGTTACAATAATGTAAATATAGCTTCTGCATGGGACTTTCAGAGTCCTCAGATTATGACAGGTCCTTGGTATTCTCTGAGCCAGCTTAGGGCTTTCTTTTTCTTTTTTTTGCAGACATTTCATTACCCAAACTAGGTGACCTCATGAGTATTAGCCAAGTTGTCTTGCTTTATTTCTGATAATTTAACATTCAAATGATGACTTAAGAAATGTACAATATGTTTCCCAGGTGATAACCCAGGCCAGTGGAAGTATTTCTCATCACACTATTCACACTCAGCCAGTGGGCAAGCAGTTTGACAGAGTGGATGACTTTTTCATTCCATCTTCAACTCTTCTTATTACCCACATAAGGTAGGTGACAAACTATGATATGGCTGACGTTGGGTATAAGATATTGAATCAGACATTTTATTTTTATTTATTCTCTTAATAACTCAACTTTCCTGCAAGGAGAATAAAGTCTGTCACATTTATTTTCATGACAACATTAAGAACATTATCAGGCTGTGAGCTTCATGGCTGATCAAATCAATCTCAGGCTAGCACAGTATACTTTATGCTATACTCATGGGTATTTGAATCAATAGGAAAGTCACTTTTACATAAAACTGTTATTGCTCTTAGTAGCTTTATCCCAGAAACACTGAACTCTTTTTAAGCATTTTTATAATGCAATCTTACCAAAATCTAATCTAACGATCTTTACTCTGACATAAGGTGATCTTTACTCCTACATAAGGTGATTTTAGTTTGCAAGTAGACTCTTCCATTCAGTGTTTCCATCTTTATATATTATCTCTAATGCTGGACCTAGTACTTACTTCTCCTACTGTAACAGAATTGTACAAAAATGGGATTTTATTTAATGCATTGTTCATCAGGTTTACATAGGCACTTATTCAGATCTTGTTAAATAGGGTGATGGACACAATGGGATTCTTCGTAATCTGACGTATCTTTTGCATTCCAATGAAATGTAATGACCATATTGTTCCCTATAACTCATCAATAAAGTTTAAGAAAATATAAAAACAAAAATTCAATTTCAATCCTTCTGCTTCTAGTGATGGCCTTCACTGTTAATTTGTATTTTTCTCTTTATTTTTAACCTAATTTGTTAATCTGTACTGCAAAAAGTATATGAGCATTATCTACAGCTACCATATGAAAACTTGGAAAGGATAAAGGACAAATTTTAAAAAGAGGCAAATCTTAAAAAGTTCATAATAAAAATGTTTAATTGTTTATGTGTATAACTTTGCTTTAGAAAGGAAAATTCAAGAGCAAAACCAGAAATTTTTTTAACAAAAAAGAAAACCCTATTAATATTATCTAAAATCAAATAGTATATGTAAATTTATTTTAAAAAGACCATTCAAAGTCCATGTTTTTCACCCGAATGTGAAAGACTAGAAGGTAGTCCTTAATTTATGACCACAATTGGGGCTGGAATTTCTGTAGCAAAGTGAGGCAGTTAAGAGAGCCATGCCTTATTTTATGACCTTTTTTGTCATGGTTATTTAGTGAACCACTGAAATTGTTAAATGGATTATGTGGTTGTTAAGCAAGTCTGACTTCCCCAATTGACTTTGATTATTGGAAACTTAATGGGAAGTTGCAAGTAGCAATCACATAACCGATGGACACCGAAACCGTTGTAAATACGTGTTGGCTGTTAAGCAGCCAAATGTTTATCATGTGACCATGGCGATGGTGCAAAGGTCATAAGAGAGAAGACTAGTTGTAAGTCACTTTTTTGTGCCATTGTAACTTTGAACAGTTGGTAAATAAATGGTTGTAAATTGACCAATACCTGTATGTACTACCATTTGTGTGGTAAAAGTTATAAATGACCAAAAAAAGGGAACAAAAGTGAGTTGTTGTTTTTTTAAAAAAAATAAACCTAAAGGATAGCTTATTTGAAAGAATGGTCCTTTATCATAAAGGACAGCTATACTTCAATGGTAGATCATAAGAATCAAGTAAGACAGTAGAAGAAAAATATTTATGGTATGTATAGCTTGGGCATAGTGCTTGCTTCAGTTTGTAGACTGAATGATCTGAGTGCTAGAGCCCATTGTAACTGCATAGCCAAAAAGGCATTAAGAGTTGTTAACCTAATCTTACATAGCTTTTTCTCTGGTAATATCACTCTACTAACTAGAGCATACAAAACATTTGCTAGACCAATACTCAAATACAGCTCATCAGTCTGGAACCCACATTACATATCTGATATTAACACAGTTGAGAAAGTCCAGAAATATTTCACAAGAAGAATTCTCCACTCCTCTACTCTTTGCAGATACCTTATGCCACCAGACTTAAAACTCTAGACCTAGAAAACTTAGAACTACGCTGCCTTCGGTCCAAGCTAAGTATAGTATATAAAATCATACATTGCAATGTCCTACCTGTCAATGAATACTTCAGCTTCAGTCATAACAATACAAGAGCAAGCAATAGATGCAAACTAATGGTTAATCTCACCAAACTTGATTGCAGGAAATACGACTTCAGCAACAGAGTGGTCAATGTCTGGAATACTCTACCTGACTCTGTGGTTTCTTCCCCAAACCCCCAAAACTTTAACCTCAGACTATCTACTATTGACCTCACCCCTTTCCTAAAAGGTCTGTAGGGGGCATGCATAAGCACACCAATGTGCCTACCGTCTCTGTCCTATTGTTTCTTTTTTTTTTCCTTATATGTATCCATGTATTCATAATTATGTTTTTACTGATACCTATTATCTTGTAAGCAATTGACAAACCAAATAAAATAAAATAAAATAAAATAAAATAAAATAAAATAAAATATAAAATAAAATAAAATAAAATAAAATAAAATAAAATAAAATAAAATAAAATAAAATAAAATAAAATAAAATAAAATAATAAAATAAAATAAAATAAAATAAAATAAAATAAAAATAATAAAATAAAATAAAATAAAATAAAATAATAAAATAAAATAAAATAAAATAATAAAATAAAATAAAATAAAATAATATATAAAATAAAATAAAAATAAAATAAAAATAAAATAAAATAAAATAATAAAATAAAATAAAATAATAATAAAATAAAATAAAATAAAATAAAATAAAATAAAATAAAATAAAATAAAATAAAATAAAATAAAATAATAAAATAATAATAAAATAAAATAAAATATTGGGAGGTATGGGATTAAATCATTTGCCATTTATAGTACAGTGATCATTCTCCCAGGATTTATACCCTTGTTTAGCAATAGAAAGAGTACTTAGACATATATAGCGGTAGCACTTAGAATTATATACCACTTCATAATGTTTTACAGCATTCTCTGAGCGGTATACAATGTCAGCATATTTCCCCCAACAATTTGGCTCCTCATTTTACCAATTGCAGAAAGATGGAAGGCTGAGTCAACCTTGAGCCTTGTCAGGATCAAAATCCAGGTTGTGTGCATAGTTAGCCAACAATACTGCACTCTAACCATTGCGCTATTAGAGCTCCTTGAAAGGTGTGACAATAAAAACAACAGTTTTCTTTTTCAAACTTGGTATGCCAAACTTACTTCATATAATACAAGCTATGCTTTCTTTAGTATATTTTCCCATATTCAGGGCCATTATACTCATTAAAACATTAGCAATCTTTGAATACAGTATTTAATGTTTCTGAATTCAGTTACGAAGGGAATATTTCCTTCCCCTCACAAACATTTCATCCAAAGTTCAGTAATAGATACCATATGAAAAGAGACAAGTAGGGCTAAAGAACACTGTTATTCCACATGCTGTAGTGCCATTTGAAGACCAATTACTTCGTAGTCCAAGCAGAGACACAGTACAGAATGGCTTGAGGTAAAAACCATTATGGAAAACAAGCATGTTGTTTTAATTGTTTCTCCCTGATGCTTTATTATTGTTGTAGACAAGGTTTTATTTGCACAGATATTGGAGGAAAAAATGTAGGCATGAAAATGAATGGGAAAAAAAAGAAGAACCACTAATTTCAAATGAAACAAAGGGCCTTTTAGCTAAAGGATATTAAAGTTGCAATACCATATATACATTTGGACTGCCAAATGTGGTATAATCTACTGCTGAATGGAACTGAATTGGTTTTATCGTAAATTGCTTTCCACCTTAATACTTTTCAAGTACTTTGTTCCATTTGAATTAGGAGCTATTGCATTCATGCTAGTCTTTTTAGTATATTTCATCTGTACCAAAGGTGACCTTTCTTTCAGGCAGGTTTTATTATCATAAGGTGTGATTATTTTTGAATTCTTGATTAAATGACTCAATGATCAATTCCAGAGTATGGTTTGGTCACAAAATAAGGCCAAGGAACAGTGCCATGAAAATCTAATAATCCAGTAAAGAAAACCAATCTAAAATAAGATTTTATCTTCTGAATTTACAATCCTTTATAGGCTTATAAATAATTCGATGTTGTTTTATTAATTTTCTTAGAAATCTGCTTAGAATACTGTTACTTAAATAAGTATGTCCCCAATTACCAAACTGTAGAAAAAACTGACCATCATTTTTGCTTTGTCTTTCAGAATTCAGCTCTAACATATTCCTTGTTTTTGCAGTCATTTTGAATAGGCCAACTTTTAAAAATTATATTTCTAAAATAAATTCAAATGAAAAAGTATAGCTAATTCTAACAGTATATTGTCTTTGATCTCCATTTTTACAGAAAATAACTCAACTTCCAGAGCATACTTGAACATTGTATTAAATTGCTTATAGGTCAAAACTAAATATAATTAAAGTATGAACTTTAAAATTTAAATGTATTCATTAATTAGAAAGTCCAGTTTCACAAAATATAACTTAAAGAGTTTTTATTGGTGGTTTAAATAAGTATGAACTATTTGTATAGTATTAATATGGTCATCCAACCCAGAAATGTGACCTGGGTGGGCCCTAGTAAAAAAAAAAAAGTATTAAAAACTAAACATGTCAAGCAAGTTCATTTTTAAAAAGAACACATAAGAGATTCTATTTGCAATGGAGCAACCTCAAGATCTCACTAATCTCCTAGGATTCCAAGATCTCATAATAAAGACAGATCTTGATGGACTCCTGGAAAATAAGGAAGGATTGAGCTGTCCTTACTTTAGGGCAAGAGTCTTCAAACGTGGCAAGTTTAAGACTTATGGACTTCAACTTATGGTTTTCAAGATGGCTGCGCACATGGATGCTGTGACTAATCGCTCGTTCTTTCAGTGTATGGTGTGTATGATTCTGTGTGTGTTTTAGATCCTTTCCTTGATTGAATCCTGTGGGGCAAGGAGCATCTATAGTCGGCAAGCATTGTCACAAATTGGATTGAAATGTGAAAAAG